GCCCATTCAAGTGACTGATAGGCCGACAGAGGCCGCATCAGTCGGTATGTAATTGTACATGGAACATGTACCTATGGTTCACGGCTCAACCTTCCTGTGAAAGGCGATTCACTACCATCTAAATGAGGCCTTAGGATCTGTTCAACCATTATTGTAACTCACCACACCCTCTGAGCACACTTGTGTTGCAGCACGTGGCAATGCATTAACATATAGTACAGGCATAAATGTTGCATGCGCGATTTTTGGTCTGTTGGGCAGATGATTAAAATGAACAAGTTGCCCAAATGCAAATGAATGCGTTAACAAAAGGAACATTAACAAGCCTCAATGGGCTAGGCTGGTGTGAGCAGACCCTTGATTTGAACCCTCCTATTGTCCAAGCATGTAAAACTAGTCTGCTCTATAAGTGCAAGCCTTTCCCAAAACCTACAGATTAAACATATGCCACTTATAGGCAAAGCTTTCCTTCCTTTCATTGAACTGCTAAGCTCTCATCTCCAACCAGTCCCCCTGGCCAATGACCTATGCAATATGGGGCCCATACAGGACTGTCTTTGAAAGAGCAGAGGTGTGGCTTCACTTTCTCCAGGCCATGAAAGATTGCACCCAATAATTGGATATGTTGGGAATAATTGGATATGTTGGGACAGACTAGAGGAAAGATTCACTGAGCATGCACCAGTGAGTGGTTTATAAGCTGAATAGGTCATATTTGGTTTCTATAAATATGGGCCAACAAAGGGCTCACTTTAAAGGGATCCTTGCTTTTAGTTCTAACTCGGTGTTCAAAAACTTGCCTTTGGCATTGACTGCCCTCCTAATGCAATGAGCACAGGTTTTTGGAAAAGCGGAAACTTTAACTCAGTCACCTTGCTTTCCTCCAAGGAGCTTATGCGGACCTTTGGTATTTGTGCAGCTTTGGAGTCTGAAGTGGGAATGAGAGCATTTATAAAGGGGTAAAAACAGTGATCTCTGCTAGCCTCATGTACAGGGCCAGATTTCCCACAAGGCCAACCAAGGCCCGGCCTTGGAGCGTGGAATTCCTATCTTCTGATGCCCAGGACATGCCGTTCCGGGCGTCGGGCTGGTAGATTTCTACATTTAGCCCTGCTTTGGGCAAGCAGAGTTCAATGTACAGCGGGGAAGCCGCCGCTTGTTTTGTACAAGTGATCTCGGCGATGTCACAGAGATTACCTGTATGCAGCCTGCAGGTCTGCCATTCTCCATGTTGGGGGGTTTGACGGTTAGGGGGCGCATTGAGGAACCTGGCCTTGGGGCAGCAGAGAGAGTAAAGCCAGCCCTGCTCATGTAACATGTCCACAGTCTGTCTTCTGCAATAGGTCTCCAACCAAAGGTAGCATTTCCAAAGTTTCTTCCCAGAATTTCCTCTAGCGTTTCTGCATTCTTCTGCAGCATTACATGTACTGAGCATTCTATGTGGCCCTCTGGTTATATCAGGGGCCACAGTTGTCATAAGTTGACAAGATGGTCTTTTCTAGTATTTACATAGCAATTCCATATTACAGAGAACAGTTCAGATCAGTCCGTGCCTACCATGCTCACATACTTCAAAAACTATTTTGGGAAGGACCAAAGTGACTTTCAGTTGAAATCAGCAAAATGCATTTTAGGTGGAGTTCAAAGACTTACAGTTTATGTTCTTTACAAAAGCCTCATTGCCTGTAAGCATGCTGTAAGTGAATGTAGCCAGCAAAGATGTTCTCACCAGGTGAAAAGTTTGGGGGTAAAAGCCTGAAAACTAACATAGCCCACCACATCCAAGGACAGGTAAGCTGCAATGTATTACATTTTTGGCTTAAGATACATTAACTATGCCGTCCATCAGATTTCTAATCAGTCATACTAAAAAAACAACGATAAAGGAATAAATGGACCTAATCAAAAACAAGCATACAGAAAGCCAAGGCAAACCTTGGCTAGATCTATATTCTCCATTAATCATAGATCCTGTGCAAACATCTCCAAGCACAAGCTGAGAAGAATCGCTCTGGCCCCTTACTTTGTGCGGCTAATAATGCTCAAGGCAAAAACAGCAGTTTGAGCAAACATCAGGGAGGCGGAGGCGTGCATTGTTTGACTTTGATTTATGATTGATGGTAAAGCCAAGCCATCTTCAAAAGCAACTACCGTGTACAGCATAGGACAAGGCCCAAACAGGATATTAGACAGCGACATCACAGCTCAGCATAACCACCTCCATAAATCACTTTTATATAGGCAGATTAGCATCTTCTGAAGCAGAACGTTCTCACGTGAAAGAGCGGATCGGTTATAAAATGTTCTGTGTTTGATGAAAGTTAAAGTGACTAGTACGGCAAAACCTCACTTTAAGGTCATAACTACTTCATTCGCCTAGATCAGGTGTAGGCAACTTGGCCACTCCAGCTGTTGTGGAACCACATGTCCCAAAGGGCATTGCAAGACTCGAAGAGGCATGATGGCATTTGTAATTTCCCCCATAGCTGGAGTGCCGAGCTTCCCTACCCCCAACCTAGACTGTTTGCATGTCTAACCAGTCATGCAAAAGCAAACCTCGCAGACTGCTGACAAAAATAATTACTGGGAGTTTGAAGTGTTCATAAAACGGTTTAATAGGACATTTAGCATCTTACTCCATGAGATAAACGTCTCGGTCGGATTACGAGCTCGGTGACGGAAGTCAATATTGACTTACTTTATTTGAACTTTTCCTATGAAAGAAAAAGATTGCTAGGTTACAGCTAGATATAAGGGTTGGGCCGTACAGTACAAGGAAAGCGGTAAATGACCAAAGGTCGTTGATCTCATCTGCCTAGACAAAATAAGACAGCCGTTGATACAACAAGGCGTGAAACATTTCCTATCATAACACCATCAGGAAAGTTAGGGCATGATCATGGTTTCAAAAAGGTCGGAACCTTCAGAAAATTTTGGAGCATTGTCTTGGCTCAAAACGGTTAGAGCCTTCAACAACTTTGGAAGCAAGCACTAAAAAAAAATTTCCCTTTCCAAAATTTGGGTCAGCCTTTCTCAAACTTTTTACCCCCTGAGAAACCCTTTAAATAATTTTCTGGGATCCCCTGTTAAACCGGACAAGGCGGGACAAATCTCAGGAGCCAGGTAGCCAAAAGTTGGCCCTTTGTTGAGGTTTCCTCTAGCTGGCTCCTCAAAAAAGTCCTGCTGACTCCTGGATTTGACAGACTGGCCATACCAATATGTCCACCAGTGCTTTACCTACAGCTCATGGCACACTAATAAGGTGAAGAACATTTAAATAACTAATATGGAATATCTAGTGTATACAACAACCAGAGCAGATAGTTTAGTTAACAACCCCCTACTAAATTATTCTTGGCAAAATTCTTGAAATGGATAACAACTGCAGAAAAAAATGGCAGACAGTAAACAACGATGGTCTTCTCCAAGATTTGTGGTCAATGTAGAAGTGACCCCTTACATTGTGCTGGTTGTGGAACGTCCACCTCTCATTGGGGATCATTGTGAGTGGAGATCAAGCCAACATTGCTCACGGAACCGCTGGAAACCTCAGGAGGATCCCTAGGCTTCCACAGAACACTGGTTGAGAAACACTGCTTTAGGTGCTCTTGGTGGCACAGAAAAGGGTAACCTTGGAATTTTCATAGTGCATACACAAATCAAGGCACGGCCATTTCTAATAATTTACTGCCACAGCCGAAATGTCTACAAACTATACGTCTTAATACAAGTCCAATCTAATTTTTTGGCATTTACCTTTTTAAATGCCAATACAACACTTTGTCCCTTTTTATTCCTATCCTTTTAAGCAAATGTATGGCTATACATCTGCATGTGGGGCTTACATTCGTACCTGTATGCAAGTTTACGCTCAAAGCAGTGTTTACCAGGATACAGCCACAACGTTCATTGGTTTCTACAGACGGCTTGTACATCACACCTGTGACTTCTGGGCTCAGAAGCCCTTAGATTTAAGACCACCACCAAAAATTTTCACAAGGAAAATTTGACCAGCTTGTGAGGATTTCCCTGCCTGACCGCCATCATTTCCCTGCTTAGTCCTACGCTTACGGTGGCCATACACCTTTGATTTCCCTTTTCAGCCCATGAGATGAATGGGGGAAATCAAAATTGATTACCCGATCCATTCTACACAACATGGATGAAGGAATCATCTCTTTCAGCTTTTGTATTCAACAGCTTGTGGGACCTGCGGCTGCTGAATGCCTAAACTGTGACTGCATCTGACTGGATATAGGCACTCTTTGACCATCAAAATTACACCCGACTCCTGCGAAAGAAGTCAATTAAAAGAACAAATTAACAATTTAAGCCAGTGGTGCCGACAGGGCCAACCACAAATCCAATTTCAGCCAGTTCAGGAGTCAGATGAAATTTGATCAGTCTATTGCCAGCTTTACTCTCAGGTCACATCACCTTGCAGGTTTATGCTTGGTCCCACGTCAACATCACTGCACATCTCATAAGTAAACCAGACCATCCTCAAATTGAATTCCATACCTTCAACTGCCAAATCATGGGGGGGCACAAGAACCAAGGACAGATATTAGAGAGAAAGCTTACAAATGTCACCCAGAGACCCAACGGCCAGGGTCACTGTACCCACAGACATAAGACCACACCAGACTTGGGGACCATCTGTTGTATAAAATGTTCATAAACGGTAGCAAGTACCTTCTAAAAAGATCACCCACATAATACAATGATGCAGTGTCAGGCATTAGGAGATGCTTCCAGACAGTGATGGGACAGGGTCCTTCAGCACCCAAGCAGTAAAGGCTGCAGAGCCTAACCCTTGTCCCAGCTTTCCATCCTGATGAAACTCCCAAGGCAGTCACCTCTTCTGCCTAGCCCTTGGAGCACCCACCCCCAGCCTAGCAGATAACGCACCCACCTCCTTGGCACCCTTGATCAGAAGCCCCCCCAATAGACCGTGCACCCACGATCAGAGTCCCCCCAGCAGTAGACCGTGCACCCACCTCCCTGGCTCCTTTGATCAGAGCCCGCACCGCCTCCTTGCAGCTGTAGATGACATCCCCAAATCCGGGCTGGAAATGGACCTCTACCCGGGTGGCCCCGCGGTACGAGCCAGCGCTGAAGGCCGGCCAGCCGAGCTCCAGCAGCGGAGGCTCCACATCAGAGATCTCGGGGAAATAAGTGACCGATGAACAGTCCACCGAGGCGGACACGGAGACCTCCTCCTCCCCGCACTGCAGGCTGGAGGCAGAGCTCAGAATGTCCCCGACCTCCGGCTCGGACAGGAAGCCGGCTACCCTCTCCCTCTGCAGAAACCCCCGCAAAGCCTCCGGACCCCCGGACACCAGCTCCTCCAGGGCCAGGCGCTGAGCCTCGCTGTAAAGGTCGGGGGGAGCTGCAGGCCAGCGGGAGCCCATAGGGGTGATGTCATCCAGACACTGGGACAAATTCGCCATAACTAAATCTAGTTGGAGAGTCCCAGCAACTGAAATACACCGGAGCGCTGCCACGTCTAGTTATAGGACATTTAAATCCAAACAATCCCGGGGGGGGCGCTCATTGGTTCAATAAACACACCCCCAGCTAGTGATAGGACGAGAGTTACAGGCACGGGCGCACAACCACGCCCTAAGTAAGGGACTGTACGGTGTGACACGCCCATTCTATTCTGTATGGCTGAGCGCTGACATGTGGGCGGGGCGTTTGCAGTTGGATGTATGGTTTGTGTCTCAAAGCTGCCATGTGAGCATGACTTCCTGGGACTGTGACTGCTGAGCCGGGGTATTGAAGGAGGTCTGATCCTGGAAACCCTGCGAGATGCCCTGGAGGTGGATTACAGCACTCCTTCTTACAACAAACACCTCCTGTCCCAGTGATTGCAACATACACATATATATACAGTATATATATATTGCTGATATTTGTATAGTGCCAACAATTTATGCAGCGCGTTACTTCCTGTGCAATTAAAAGGCGTAGTCCAGATTGTTGCAACAAAATTTGAAAAATACGTTTGCATTTATTAGTCTTTTGCATTGCAGCCTGCCAAGCATTGAACCATGATCAGTAGATGGAGGGACTTCTGTAAACTGTTCCTCCAGGTGTGATCTAAGGGTACAGACCTTCAGTTATGGGGATGGGGGAAATGATGAATGGACTACAAGTGCTGTGACCTCACTGTGACCTACTCCTCCGCTGTTTACTCCGGGCTCCGCTCTCCCCTATGCGGGCCCGGGATCAGCGAGTCTCCCTTCATTGATCGGAAAGGAGTTCAGCAATAGTGATGGGCTCGGGCGTGTTCGCAGCTCCACGTGCCGAGCCCGCCAGGAAGCTAACAGCGCCAATCACAGGCACGGAGACTTTTCTGAGACATTTCCCGATCTCTGCAGCTGCGGACCCGGATAATGTCTCAGTACCTGTGATTAGCGCTGTCAGCTTCCTGGCGGGCTTGGATTACATCACTTCCGGTGTCACTGTGCACATTCTCCGGCTCCTGTAGCCAGGAAAAGAAGCTGGGGAAGCAGATCTCTCCTTCATTATCTTCTTTGGGGTCCCTAAGTGACATTAGGGGTCTGACAGACCCCTGATGTTTCCATAAAGAGGACCTGTCACATTATATTTGCTATTACATAGGGGACCTGCTAGCCCCCTATGTGGTAGCAAAAGAGTTAAAAGAGAACTATGGGGTAAGTGTTTTTCCCCATAGTTCTCTTAAGGGTCACGGGAGGACATATACTACCATCCTCCCGTGACCCAAAGCTCAGTATATTGCGAGCTACAGCTCGCGGTATACTGAGACCGCCGCAGCCGGATCCGGACATTGCTGTTGAGATCCACCCAGCTGTATGAGTGACAGCTGGCTCTGCCTATCTAGAGGCAGAGCCAGCTGTACCCGCCCCCTCTCCAGTCAGCGCTGGGGGATCGGAGGGGGGGAATCCCTCTCTCTGCAGGGAGATGATCGAAAGTGAGCAAGCGACAGTAGGTGTTCACTCACTTCCCGATCTATTGAGCCGACGTGTGACAGTTTCATTGTCACACGTCGGCTTGAACTATGTACTCATAGTTCTCCTTTAAGTTTAAAAAAAATAATTAAAGTAACACGTGCATGCACATGCGCAAACATGCCTCAGGTGCGCCTTCGTACAAAAATTGAGCCACACATGTTACATATCGCCGGAGTGAGAGCAATAATTCTAGGGCCATCTGTCACTGTAAACACTAAAATGATGAGCAGTTAAAGCTTTTAAAGCATGGCCTATGGTAAATTTTGGGTATTGTAGTTTTGGGCACTTTCATGGGCACACACAATTTTAAGGTTTGACATGTTTCGTATCTATTTACCCTGCATTTTATATTTTACAAAAAAATTGGGTATTATATTCTGTTTCCGTGCACTAAATTTCATTTTAGTGTATTTATATCCTAAAAATATTTGTTTGATAAATGTTTGTGCAAATATCGTGCAACATAAAAAATTGCAAATAGCATCTTTTTATTCTACAGGGCCTCTGCTTTCAGAAAATAGATCATTGTTTTGGGGGTCTGAAGCTGTTTTCTAGCCAAAAATTCAGATTTTATCATGTGTGCGCAAATAGTAAGAAATTGCTCCGGACAGCAAGTGGTTAAAGAAGATAGACATTGCCTGGCCAAGCAAAAAAAAAAGGTCAGACTCTAATATTTTGTTGGACCGCCTTTAGGCTAGGTTCACACCTAGGCAATTTATCTGCACAATATCTCGCAAAACGCAGATTCCCATTGAAGTCAATGAGGCCTGTTCATAACGTTGCGTTTCGTCGCGCGGCTGAAATCCCCTGTCGTGCAAAAAGGTGCAGGAGCTATTTTCGGGTGGTTGTGGTCCCATAGACATCTCTATGCAGGGAAAACAAAGCAAAGTCCTGCAAAAAAAAAAAAGTGTGAAAACAGCATCATAGGTGTGAACCTGGCCTTAGCTTTGATGTCGTAACATGCATTGGCCGTGGCATCGTGATAAGCTTATGCAATCCAGAAATCAAGAAGTTCTTGCTGCACTCCTTACCGGAGTCAAAAGAAAGACCCGTGTGGACGGGTGGGTGCTTGTAGTGGCCATGGATGGCGCCGTGAAGAAATACGATAAAAATAATAACGTCACCAGCACTCCAAGGGTTAATGAAGTCAAAAAATAATAACGTCACCAGCACTCCAAGGGTTATGTAGTCAATTTATTGGCACATTGCCATTCAACTGCAAGCGCTTTCGGGGCCTCTAAGGGTCCCCTTCATCAGGCTCAGAATGGCATTTATTTCCATCCAGAGTTGTATTAATGTTTCACCAAGATCTTGTAGTGATGATGGGAGAGCCGGAGCACTGTGTAAAGTCTTATCCAGCACATCCCAAAGATTCTCAATGGTGTTGAGGTCAGAGCCGGAGCACTGTGTAAAGTCTTATCCAGCACATCCCAAAGATTCTCAATGGTGTTGAGGTCTGGACTCTGTGGTGGCCAATCCATGTGTGACAATGATGTCTCATGCTTCCTGAACCACTCTTTCACAATCTGAGCCTGATGAATCCTGGCATTGTCATCTTGGAATATGCCCAATGTGCCATCAGGGAAGAAAAAAATCCACTGATGGAAAAACCTGGTCATTCATTATATTCAGGTAGGCAGCTGACTTCATTTCAAGAACATTATGTTGCTGAACCTAGGCCTGACCAACACTTGTCCAATGGAAGGTTTTGACCTATTTGCCAAACTAAATCCAGGTGGTGACTTTTTTGGCCTGGCAGTGTACTTTCCTGATCCTTGTTCCTGCCTGGCTGCTAAACCAGTCCCACAGCCTCTTCTCCCCCAGGCTCCAGCGGTCTAAGGACCTGTGATGTCATCACGTCTAAAGCTGGCCATACACCTATAGATTATCTGCAGATTTTCTGTGGTCAGATGGAAAAAGTGCAACAGATTCCTCCGTCTATACTAAACTGTGTGGATAGAGGAATCTCCCACTGGGCCAAGCTTCAGTATCTTGCTAGTCGGCCCCGCCGGCTATCAAAGTACCTGAACAATCTGATTGGATGCAGGCATTGTTCAGGTATTTTAAAAGCCAGCGGGGCCGACTAGCAAGATACTGAAGCCTGGCCCAGTGGGAGATTCCGCCATCCGTACAGTTTAGCCAGCTTTATGCAGGTCCATTAGATGTAAGATCGCCAAGGGACATTCTGCAGCTGGAGTGGAGGGGAAGAGAGGTGAGCGCTGACCGCCGCAGAACCAAAAATCAAATGAGTATATTTTCTTTATTCCGCACCCTAGACCAGAAGGAGCAGTTAACCCTTGCAGTACTGGGGTAGCCCCACTCCAATGGTCAATATTTGCACGATCTGCTGTAATGATGCATTAATGAATACCGAGCTGCATCCATTTGTGTCTTTATATGTGCCTAGAGTCCAGCTTTAAGAACCCCGGATTATTAAATTATTCAGTCGTTTTTTCTTTCCGTTGCACCTATAAATCCTTCTTCAATATCTTTTTGTTTCACAATTCATTTGAGTGAAGCAGTTAATCATATAGCGCTTCGGGGAGATTCCGAAAGCTTTTGTGAATCTTAAATGATTTTGCCTCTTGTGTTTGGTGACACATGCTGATATGGGCCCCCGGGCCTCTACGGTACAAGTCTTATCATGTAGACTCTGCATTATCGCAGGCTGTTTTATTCCTTTCTACTGGAAGAGTAATGTTTTCATGTCTCGTTTCATTAAAACTGCATTTTTATTCAGCTAGTCACATTTTTATCTGGTTTCCAATCAGCGTATACAGTACAATGTGGATGAGTCCAGATAGATGCGTGTTTGAGGCTATTTACAGGTGACCAAGTGTACAGGAGCGCGGAGAATTCAAGAAAAAACTCCAGCTTCCATTCCCCATAATACATACAAACTATGTATTCAATTTGTATTAAAGGAGTCCCAGCATATCATCTCCTGTTATAACATCAGCATTGTAATAGGAATACATACTGGAGTTGTTTTTCATAACGCAATCAAAGCTTATTTGAAAAATGATTTTATGTAGTGAGTGCTGCCTTCCGTCTGCCCATCATTTTCACCAACTTCCTGGATTCCCAGTGTGCTTTGCGTCTCTTAGTAGACGTGATGTAATCTCCATTTCTCAAGACTACATTTCCCATCAAGCATTGCTTCCAGCAAGCAATAATGATGTTATATTGTGCAGATGTCGAGTTGTAGTTCAGAAGGCAGGTTCTGTGTGATATATATACTGTATACAGGTATTCCTCACTTAACGACCGAGTTCCGTTCCTACGACCAGGTCGTTAAACAAATTGGTTGTTATGTGAGGAACTCTATACAGTACTGTACTGCATTAGTACAGTACTGTATAGTGTTGCAGATGTACAGTACTATGTACTATACATCGGGCAATAAAGTACTTACCGAGACCTGCGGTGAATAACGGAGCACATCACTTCCGCC